AAGAACAGCACTTTTTCGGGGCTGGACAATGGCCACAAGTGGCGACTGCATGCAAGCACACCAGCAGCAACCAAGCAAATGACATCATTAGTCAATGTTACCTTCAGGACTTAGGGCTTAGGTTCCTACAGAATCTGCTTCAGCCCTAAAAACGTTACACACTCTCGCCTCACAACGGCTGAGAGACCCATAGCTCAATACCCGCACCATACACTTAGACGAGTTTAGGGTTCACTGTTTAGGGGGATGAGGGTTTATACGAGTGAACTATTCTGAAGAGCAGTATAGAGTCTGTGGTTGCTGTATAATGACTGAATAGGGTCTAAACTGATTGCGTTGTCGAACAGATGAATTGATGGGGTGTACTGACATGAAAGTCCTCCACATACAACAGAACCCTCTTAACGACATGAACTTTCCGGATTTGTCTTTCTGCTTCTTCCAAGTCAATAAACTCTCCTTCTGCTGTCAGTACACTTCGCGAGATCGCGCTGGTCAGCAACAGAGGAAGGTCCTCGCCGGCTGAGACCCCAACTAATCCTGTTTTGTACATACCCCGAGAAGTAAGGTGACGCTGGAACGCCGTTTGGTGGCGGTAATAACCTGAAAAGCCGCAAAAGGAGGGTGTTGAGAAATCGAATTAAATGTTGCAACAACGAAACGACAGAGAATGACAGCAAATAACAAGAGAATGACGGCAAGCACAATAAACTAATTCGACAGAAAGATGAGATTCAGAAATGTAAGAAAAGCAAAAATCCATTCATGTCATTTTCAACGGAGACAAAGTAACTGGAACGTAAACAAAACGAAAACTCAAGGCGAAAGCAGATCAAAACAGAAACCCATGACACAGAAGATGAAGCAAGACACATGCTCAAAACCCAAACAACCCAGCAGCACGGGTATACACAGATGTGACGCCGCCATATATGCAAATGCTGGTCTCCCTTCGAAATATACATCCTGCTGCGGTTTCATATATCCTCCAAGCAAATATAACGTGCTGTATTTGTCTGTCTCCGTAAGAAAAAGTTTGCTGCCACTGTCTCCTACAATAACCTCTGGCTGTGGCCGCCTTCTCTATCTTCCCAAGACACACTACGCTGCATTTGCTCTCCACCAGAAAATAAGATATGAGTTCAAATTCTGTTCTCCCCTCTCTGAACAGAGGCTGTGCGGAACAGTTGTCCTATCCCCTTCTACCCAAACCAAAACAACTCATCGCATGTACTCGTCGCCGCCACCAGGCAGCTGCTTAATTGTTTTAACCAAAATCTTGCGCATGTTTAAAACAAACAAAAAGTGCTGCAGCTC